ACAAGCACAAGAGTCGTAGTCATCACGGTATGGCCACGGCTTCCCATCCGGCTAGCTGTGCTGTTGTGAAGGCCGGGAAATCTATGGCGAGTACTGGCTGAATTAAAGTTAAAGCACGGAGCTGTTCGTGTTGTGGAAAAGGTGCCTCAGAGCGGAGGCGTTGGAAGTTAGGTGTTTGCATGGCTCCGGCGGCCCGTCTATATGGTACAGCCACAAAGGCAATTTGGGGTTTCCCCCGACTAAGAAAGACAGCGTCATAGGCAGAATTTTGATTGCACTACGGTTCTGAGAAAAACATGCATGCCTGCCAGTACTCCAGTCCTGAAAGACAAAAGTGTTTCCTCGCAGCGTCCAAAGTGCGATGGGGTTTCACCCTTTTCAAAAGGAGAGGCTTCACTCACTTGGCTGCTCAGTTGAGGTAGTCCCCCGACATCATGCCCGCCGCCATGGTCGCCGGTGTTGGTCTTTGGTCCAGACTCCCTCTGAACGTTGCTGCTTGCGGTGCGCCCCCCCTTTGCTTGCAGCGAAGCACTGAAGGAAAATTAAAAAGTCTCAGCTCCTTGTCATGGGGGGTTCACACCCCCTTCCCGCGTAGGTGAAGAGTTTGTTCTCGGTGTCGCGGGGAAATCACGTTGCACACCCTGCTCAAAGTTTACGACCCGATGAGCAGCAAGGGAATCGCACCCTGGAGGATCACAAAAGAGGTGTCGAAGTGCACCCGGTCCAGCTGCGGTCACCGTCCGGGAGTTAAGTCACCGAACTCGTGGAGGACGGCCCCTAGGAAGAAGTCGCGTAGTACCGCAAACTTGCCGCACAGCTCAATGGCTGCGCTCGGGGCACTTCTTCCACTTGATGATAGATGCGGCAGGCGAATGACTCAAGCACCGCTGGAGGCAAGTGAGAAGGCTCCCCTGGGGGTACACCCCAAGTCAACCTCTCACCTCCCTCCCCGATGCCAGGGGGTGTCACAGACCCCCAAGCAAAGGTGCAGCACTTGAGCCAAAATGGCTACCCCTCTCTCTCTCTCTCTCTATCTTCTGGGCATGGGGAAGGCCCCCGCGCTTTAAGCCCACCCGAAATATTCTCTCTATCTCTGTCTTCTGAATGCAACAGAAGAAATCCTGAAAGCCCAACGCCCAGAAGCCCGATGAGTCCTGGCAACTGTCAATCCCAAAGCCATCAGACCTCAAAACTAGCCCATCGTCACGCAAGCCTTGCCCGCTCTGGAGTATCCACAGTGAAGAGCTCACGTAACTGACCCTCCCCAAGCTTTAAAACCCTCAATCCCTGCAAAAAGCTATGGCTTTCTGATGTGCTCCCGCCTGTGTCTCGCTTGCCCGGCTCTCCCGGGAGAAGGGCCACAAGGAGCTCAACCTGACTGGCAAAAAAGGAACGACTCGACTGGGCCAACAGTCCATCACACGGCGAAGCCGAAGTATCGTCCAAAGCCATTTGGAGCCATGTATCGCATAGAACAGAGAACACCGTGAACATTGCACTTCAAGGCTCATGCCATTGCTGTCGCGGCTGCAGCTGGGTCCGCAAGCTCTCTCCATCACCTGCCGCCTTCTGCAGAGGACAGACTGCAAGAAGTTCAGAGCCTCTCCGAAACTGTCATCAAAGCCATTGTTGGCGTATCATTGCGAAAGTTTTGCGCCTTCAAACCAGGGAGCCCCGATGAGGGGGGTTAGGAAGGTACTGCAGGCCTGCGAGGAGCGGGCGCCATCCGAATTTGGATCTGGTGGCGGAAGGCATTCATACTCCGGCATGGCTCGCACAGGATTCAACTCAACATTTGCATTTCAGGTTGGTTTGGGTCAAGCATGTTGCGGCTGCAAGGTGACGGTTTAGAAAGGAGCTCCAAACCTTACCTGTCAACCCGTGGTGCGCTCATCGCTGCTTTGCTTCGTCAAGTCTGCACTGATACATGCACGCTTGACCTCACTCATGAAGAGCTTTCCCTGGAAGCATCAGCCCTGCTTCTGCCTGTCTGTCTCAGCACATCTTGCCATGCTACGAAGGAGATCGTGCTGATGCACTCTCAGATGCTGCAGCCCAGACCGACGACCCAAGCTTAGTAGTGAAGCCCGTTAAGTTGCTGCGCTTCAATCTGCCCGGGGCCCTTGCATTGGTCTGGCCAGGGTAAGGTGACCCCAATGACCAGGGCACGACTTAATGCCTCCGTAGGACACGGCTTCAGGCATCAGGATTCTTACTCGGCGACATTCACCCAGATAAAGCCGCTCAAAGTATCTAAAGTCGCTTAAAGTACTGTATTTGCCTTCAAGTCGTCTCTGAAAGTCGCCGTGATTGAAGGGCAGCAATTGTAGACGCGACTCCCGCCATCGAAAAGCGACTGCTGTGCGCTGACGAAGGTGGCCTTCGCCACAAGTCTCGCATGGCGTTCCTCGGAGTTTTTCAGACTGACTTCCGGCATCTTACATCCTCGAAGCGAAGTGTTCTTAGTGCTCCGACTGCTACCTTGAGATCTTCTCACAAATTTTGATATTTCAGGGAGTTTGGCACCTCTTCATGCAGGGGTTAGGCCCAGCTGCGCACATCGATAGGACCAAGCCGTGGGTCGTTCACGCCTCCATGAACCTAAGAGTGGCTTGAGAATCTGCGAAGGCTATTCAGCGAGGCCCAGCAGTCTTGCCCAGAAACTGGCTGACCATTTCTGTAGATCTCGTTGCTGGAGATCTCCGCGACAGAGTACCTCTAACAGGCCAGATAATCGGAGTGCGATCACCTCCACTGTGTCCCTAGTTTGCCGAGAGCCCTGCGCCGTAAGGGTGTCCGCATCGAACATGGTGAATCGAACCGCCTTGACCTGGGCTTCCGCTGTCGCGCAGCACTCACACAGCACTCGCAGCACTCACACAGCAAAGACCAGGCTCGTCATAGCTTTGGAGACTCGAAGATGCGCGGAATACCCAGACACAAACTTGAAGTTCAGATGCAGGCCCGCTTCAGTTCTGCTCGCGAGTAAGGCGCATTCAGGTCCTCGACTGCCAGAATTGCTGTTGAGGCTGAGACAAAGCTGGAGCTTTGGGGACTGTGTGATCGGGAACAGGGAGTAAAGGGCGAAGCCAAGGCTCCGCACATGTCGTCATGGCTCGGGCGGAGTGGACTCTGGAAAGGGCGCCGAAAATGCGACAGATTCAAGAAAGGTGCCCAGAGAATCCCGACCCAGCTTCAGCAAGATACTGAAAACTCTCGTGAGTGTTTTCTGCTGCCCTTGCGGACGTGAGAGCTGTGTGGCCTGTGGCTAGTAGCTTTGGGTTGGGCACCCTTCGGGGTTAAGGGTGGGTGAAGGGTAAGATGCTATGTGTAGAGTGTGAGAAGTGGGTCCGGGACCGTTGAGGGAGGGGGGGTTGCAGCATTGGCATTGGCTATTGGGGGCTGGGGCTGGAACCGATAAAAGGAATTAAACCGTCTCGTGGGATTTGAGCCATCAGAGGGCGGCCGCAGCTTTACAGCAGAACAGCGGATACCCACTGCCAAGTTCTATTGCTGGGCCCAGAGGTCTGAAGAGTCGGGTGACCGGAGGGCTTCGAAAGGCCTGGCTTGCACCTCGCGACTGGGGTTCGGCCCTGGCTCCTGTGGATGGATGTTGAACATCTTCAGCTCCTCAGGCTGTCACATTGCACTCGAATTGCTCTCGGCTTAGCCTAAAATGCCTTGAACTCATGGCGGTGCTCCTCGGACCAGTGGGATCCATTTAGGGCTCCGAAGAGGAATTCCTGCGAGAATTCCCGCTGCGCACCTTCCAGGACTGCCATGGCAGGGCGGCAACAAAGTGGAACAAAGGGGGAGCGCTTCAAGTCAACCCTGCGAACTAGAAGAGGGTGCCTCGCAAGCTGTCGTAACTGTGGATTCTTTGGTGATTGACTCCGAAACGGCCCGAAATCCATTGATTCGTTCATTGCATCCCCCCCAGAACTGCTTTGAAGCTCGTGCGCCTCGGATCTCCTGCTCCAGGTCCTCACCTACCTCGCCAGGTTCTTGCTCCGAAACGCCCAAACCACCCTCAACCAGCTCCTAAACGGCTGAAAAAGTTCAGGTACAGATGACTGGCCCGCATTTGCTCATCGGGCTTCCCCACATCATGATCGCCTACTTGAATCACTGGCTGCACGCACAAGCAAACCGACATATCTTGCCGTTGCAAACTTCAGCTGCCTCTGGGCCAAGTGCCACGAGCACTGCAGGCCTGCTTTTGCGGTCGTTCGTGTTTTCGGGTGTGTTCGGCCGTTGAGCTAACAGCAACACAGCAGCAGCAGCAGCAGCAGCGGCAGCGGCAGCGGCAGCGGCAGCGGCAGCGGCAGCGCAGCGGCAGCGGCAGTGGCAGCGGCAGCCGCAGCGACAGCAGCAGAAGCAGCAGCAGCAGCAGCAGCAGCAGTCGCAGCAGCAGCAGCAACATCAACAACAACAACGACAACAGCAGCCACCACCACCACCACCAGCGCCAACCCCAGCCACCACCACCACCACCACCACAACAACAACAACAACAACAATTTCAATTGAACGCTGCGCGAGCGGGCTCCACCATCTGTGGGCATGATGCCGCACCAAGCACTCACTAAGTCCGAAACCGACCGGTAGAGCGAAGGATCAAAGCATGACTGAGTGAAGAGATTAGTATGGCGGCTCATGGTGACCGATCCTCTTGCTGCTACTTTCACTACTACTACCACCACCACTACCACTACCACTACCACCACCACTACTACTACTCCTCCTCCTACTACTACTACCACCACCACTACTACTACTCCTCCTACTACTACTACTACTACCAGTACTAGTACTACTACTACTGCTGCTACTACTACTACTACTAATAATAATAATACTAATAATACTACCACCACTACGGCTACCACTACTACTACCACGACCACGACCAAAACCACGACCACTACACTTCTACTACCACCTCCAAAACTACTATTACTACTACTACTACTACTACTACTACTACTTGTACTACTTGTACTGCTTGTACTGCTTGTACTGCTTGTACTGCTTGTACTACTTGTACTACTTGTACTACTTGTACTACTTGTACTACTAGTACTACTTGTACTACTTGTACTACTTGTACTACTAGTACTACTTGTACTACTTGTACTACTGGTACTACTTGTACTACTTGTACTACTTGTACTACTTGTACTACTTGTACTACTTGTACTACTTGTACTACTTGTACCACTTGTACTACTACTACTACTACTACTACTACTTCTTCTTGTACTACTACTACTACTACTACTACTACTCCTACTCCCACTCCTACTCCCACTCCCACTCCCACTCCCACTCCCACTACTCCCACTCCTACTCCTA